AGGCTGGGAGTGGTTTCAACTTCCACTGATTTGAAGAGATTGGTGAAACTAGGTTAAGAGGTCAGGATTCATCTCCATGAGGACTGCACTCAAACAACCCTATAGGCATTTTATTTGTGCTCCCATTTTTCAGCAGTGTTAGTCATTCATTGAGCCAATTCAGAATTCATTTATGGCATGCCTATAGCTCCAGGCATCCTTCCAACATTGTGTATATGGTGAACAAGACACACGAAGCCCCTCCTCTAATACGTTTTGCAATGAACAACATATGAAACAAGGTATGAAAAATATTCAGTGTATCAGATCATGTGTGTTAAAGAAAAAAAGCTGGTGGAGACAGGGTTAGGAAGTGTGGTGAGCGCATGGTTTTCAAACTTTAGGTGGTCAGCAAAGCTTTCCATGAGAAGAGGACTTTGGGGTGATGACCTGAAGGAAATGAAGGCATTGATCAAGTAGCTTCAGGCAGAGCAGATTTTAAAATGAGGAGTAACTAACATTTTATATGTCAGAGCTACTGTCATCACACAGTTGGATTACTGTAATCTCTTCTACATTGCCCCGGGGAGCTATAGCAATAACCCAGCTGAGTGCTGATGGTAGTTCTGATCAGCTGGTAGGTTTGGGTCGTGAGAAATGGTCCAGTGCAGAATTTGGATGTATTTTGAGGGTGGAGTTGACAACATTTACTGAGGAACTGGCAGTGATGCCTGAGTGGAAGAGAAGCCAAGGAAGACAGCAGCATCTGGCTTCAGCTCCTGAAAGAATTAAGTTTTATTGAGATGAGGAACCCCTAGAGGAACAGGTCTGGAGGGTCATCAGGAATTTGATTGTAGACCTGTAGAATGTGAGGTTCCCAGTATACAGCCAGGAGGAGATGTCGAGGAGGTCCTTGAACTTATAAAACCAGGGTTCAAGTCAGAGACTCAACCCTAAAAGGCACATTTTGCTGTTACCTGTAATTGGGTGGTACATATGAGGCTAGCTTGATCCTCTAGGGCAGAGTGCGCACAGAGCAGAGAAGGCCTGGTGCCTGAGCCCTGACATCTTCTGCCATTTTCATGGAGATTCAGAGGAGCCAGCCAAAGACAGGAGGAAGGCAAGAGTCTGGGCAGGAGAAAACCCAGGGCAAGAGTCCTGGAAGTCACGTGAGGACACTGGTTTAAGGACGAAGGAGCGGAGCCATCAGTGGTGTCCACCCTGCTCAGGGCCCCAGCTGCAGGAAGCAGGGGAGACTCTGCAGGTCCTCCATGAGCTCGGGAGGAGCTGTTTGCAGGAAGGAAGTAGGGAGGAAACCACGTGGATGCAGGTTCGGTGGTGGAAGGGGAGAAGTGAAGATGGTAAGAAAGAGTAAGTATCTCTCAAGGGAAGACAGAAAAGATTTGGAGAAGTAACAGGTAGTGCTTTCTGCATCCTGGAATACATTTGTATGAATTAAGGAAAAGTTCCTTTTCCTCTGTGTGCCTGGGACTCCACCCCAGGGACACGCTTGGAGAACAGAGCATGGCCATCAAGTTGAGGGACTGCAGGTGGCAGTGGTCTTGAAATTGTCCTCCCCCTCTCCCAGCATCCTGCCGCACAGACTAACTCCTGAAAGAGCACAGTTCTGATGCTGCTTTGCCATCTCAATTTATATCAACCTGACTTTGTGCTAAATTTTATACCTCAGTTTTATGTTGTTGTTGTTGTTGTTTTTTGTACTGGGACTCGAACTCAGGACCTTGTACTTGTTAGGCAGGAGCTGTGTATATATCTCAATTTGATGTCATTTAAAAACCAATAGACATACATATCTTCCTGTTCTTGAATACCAGAGTTAGAAAAGTCTTTTAAAAAGTTATTTTACTTAACATTTTCAAATGAGCAGAATGAACATCAAAAACGAGTTCTTGGGCAAAGGATGTAGCTCAGGGGAAGAGCTCTTCCCTAGAATATGTGAAGTCCTGCGTTCAGTCCCCTGAACCACAGAACAAAACAAAACAAAACAAAAAACCAAAAATGTGGCTTCTTTGTTTCTAATAAACCATTAAGTGTATATCAAGTATTCAAAAGATTATCTTGAGTTTAGTCCTGAAGAAAAACCTGGTTTAAAAACAAGGTTTGAATATTTAGAGTTTGAAAGCTATCGTATTTGTCCTGAAAGATATACTTGTACTGGTAAAATATTTACAAGTAATTTATTAGGAGGCTTTAGGGTTCAGGTTAGTGCAGAGTCATCTCCACAGATGCCTTGGAAGAGCAGCAGAGAAAGATGGAAAATCACGTTGGACTTGTACGCTGAAAATCTGGTGAACAGAGAGCAGTTACACACTTTTTGTGGTTCACAGCAATAGCTGTTTCTATGTTTGACTTAGGATTTGTGAAGATTAATAAAAAGATCTAAAGAACAAAGCAAATGTCATGTGTTGCCTGTACTATTATAATTGCCACACCTCAAGGATGTGTGACATTAATGTTTCTGATAAACAAATATGCCCTGTGTCAGCAGCTTCTTTGCCACACAATTTGCCCTTCTATGTAATCCTACAGTGTTAAGCAATGTTTTTCCCCCCAATCAGAACACTATAAGTTATAATTTTTTTTCACGTCTTGGAAGTGAACCCAAGGCTTTCTCACTGAGCTACATCACCAGTCCTTTTAATATTTCAGACAGGGTCTCCCTAAGTCAGTAAAGTTGTCCAGCTTGTGCTGGAACTTGCTGTCCTCCTGCCTCAGCCTCCCAAAGTTCTGGGATTACAAGCTTGCACCATACATCCTTGTTTTATAATTTTTTGACACCATAAATAAAGTAACAAATGAAATTTGGTCAAGCAACTTGAGTGTCATTTGGGTTGTTCCAAGTTTTTCGAGTTCATATACTGTACTTTACAGGAGAAGAATGGAGAATAAAATTCTATTATTTCCTGTTAATTTTCAGATGTGACTGAGGGGATTCAGTAAGTAAAACCGTGGATATTACATAACTGGGCATATTATAAGCATTTGAAAGTAGTTGTCGAATTTATTTTATTAGCCAAAAAGGATAAGTGACTTAAAATATTGAATGGAACATTAAGCATAAACTCTCAAAAATTCCATGATTGTCTAATACCTCTTTCCTCTTTTGAATAATCTCTTTTTTTGAATGAATAATCTCCTATGAAGAGATTTCAAATTATAATCTTGTCATGAATATGAGTCTATAAGTTTATATATCAAATAATCAAATAATCCTCAAATTGTTATAGGCAGCTAAGTTAGAGAGAAATTAACATACAGTCAGAGACTGACTAGGCTAACAGCACAGGAGTCATCAGAACTGTGGCTGGAGGTGCATCTGAAGAAGGCCAGGCCTCAAGATGCAGATGCAGTGGCCAGGCCCGCACACCTCCCTAAAGGACAAGCAATAGCTGGACATTATACTGTCGCTAGCACTACCTGGACCAGAAGGTCCTGACCGGCATCAGTCACTCATGTGGTGACCAGAGCACTGGGACCCATCCCTTCCCCAAAATGCCTTTGTTCCTTCCATGCGCCTGTGCTGTGTGACTCCTTTCCCTATTGGATCAACATTAGCTAAGCAGCCATACTTATAATCCTATGGGTTGATGGCAGTTCTACCCAGGTTGAACCCACACTGTGCCTCTGCTGTATAAATTACCCCTGACAAAAAGCTTTGGTGGCCACCCACTCAGGACCCCTCCTGGATATTCAGGAGCTACTTTTCTTGCCTTATTTCTAATAAAACTCTCCTAACATCTTCCTTTGGTTCAAGACTTCATACCTTGATGTTGTGGGACCAGGAGCTCAGCACATTTGACATCTAACAGGTCAGGAGTTGTATTTCTCCTATATCAAAACCATGGCTCTCCAGGCATGGTGGTGCACACCTGTAATCCCAGCACTCAGGAGGCTGTGGCAGGAGGATCTTTGCTAGTTCAAGACCAGCCTGGGTTATAAAGTGAGCTCAAGGCTAACCTGAACTGCATAGTGAGACCCTGTCTCACAAAGATAAAAGAGAAATAAAAACAAAACCATGGCTCATTTTTTGTTTTAAACCCTCCTATATATACATATATAAACAATGTGCTGAGTACTGGGGAATTTTCTACAGCTGGTCTGGAATTACACAATATAAATTCAGGAAGATGCAGTATGTTTTTGAAATTGGCTTGATACCTGCAATCTACCAAGAATGGCTGTACTGTAATTTCCCTCACAGAGCAGGGGAACCAGGTTCTTGTACCTTTTTTGTTCATAGGCAATGCATTCATTGAATTTTAACTTTCCAGACTCTTGTATTTCATTGGTTCTTTCGTGGTGAGTTCTGGCTGACCTTCAGTCTTAGAGTAGAAACCTTCTCAGAAGAGTGGATTTCAGATCTCCATATATACAGCTGTGTGCTTTACCTAATCTTGCACAAAAGTGAATGTGGCTCTTTACTGATTCTGACTTTTTTTTGCTGTATCATGACTACGACCTTTCCCTCTAACCTTTTTAGATTATTTGGTGAATGTAGCATACATATTTCCAGTGCAATATTTTATGTCTGAGCAAACGTGAACTATACTTAGGACAACATTCCAAAGTTAGATTGGCTTCTGAAGTATATACGTTAATTTTCTAAATCAAATAATCCATCCAAAGTAATGATATGTAAATGTTTCCACGCGTCCAGCTGCCCTGATTCCCGTGCTTGCAAAGGCACAAACAGAATACTATTTTTACATATGAAAGATATAAGGTCAGTTTAGCCTTGGCAGTGCTGTTGCTTCTGTTTAATCATTAAATTTGGGTGCAATGCTGGTATTTAAAGGCTGTGACATCTGTTCTGGCTCTGTCATTCCCTTGCTGCTAATCTACATTTACTTGGACCCATTTTTCCTACCTGAAATTTGCGTGGTTTGTAGGGGAGGTGAATGGGTTGTGAAAGGAGTCGCTAAAACTCTGGGTAGCTTAACAGTAAAGGGAGGAAATAAAAAATACACAGTGGAAGAATATTGTTTCCTCCTCCCTTTCAGTGTCAAAAATGAAAACCAAGAAGGAATGGAGGATGACGGCATGCGCGTGTAACCCCGGCACTTTGAGAGGCCAAGGCAGATGGATCTCAAGTCCAAGCCCAGCCTGGGAAACTCAGCCCCTTCGGAAGATCTATCTCAAAAGACAAAGGAGATAGACGGGGAGGAGGGAAGAAGAAAGTATGAGAGAGGGGTATTGGAAAGCTGAGATGCAGAGCCAAAGCGGCCAGAGGATGTTGGCGTCACTGCACATGCGTGAACCCTCAGGAAAGCTAGAGTCAAAATCGTTCTCGCCGCTCCAAACAAGGATTTATCCTGCAGTTTGCTTGAGTTTCTTCCATCTGTCCCAGATGTCCCAGTTTCTCCCAGTTACAGTCACTTGTTTATATTTGCCTCTCTTGATTAGAAGCAAAGAACAGTAACCTACAGCCTGGTTCCAAATTCCTCGCTGCTCCAAGTGTTGGAACAGAAGGCGGGAGGAAGAATGAATCGGACTCATTTTCTGTGCACGGCCTGATTTCCTTCAGTTCTATTCCGGAGCACTGGCGCCTACGTTTATTTTCATGGCTGGAATTAAGCAATTTCAGAAGGTCCCTGGGCAGGTTAATGACAGAGCCAGATTTAGTATGCACAGCGGCTGGCTTCCTGGTGGGGGCTCTGGGCCTCGCGGCTGCGTGGCCCTGCTGCCTGGTGCTCCAGATCACACGCTTGTCAACTGCAAGGAGCTTCCTAAGCCCATTGTCGTGAACAAGCTTTATTAAACATTGCACATACGAAAGACCCAGGCACCAAAATCTTGAAACATGGAAAATATCTCCCCTTTAAACAGTGTCACGTGGTAGTAAATGGGGTATTATCCATGACAGTTGAACAAAGTAATATTCCTTCAACCAGCAAAACTTAAGCTAGTTAAATCACAGGCTTGATCTTATTTTCACAGACAACAAAAGCAACCAACTTTAAGAATTAACATCATTTCTCATTTCCTAGCCAGAACCACCAGCCAGCCTATAATTTTTGTTTAGTGTTTTTTTTTCTTGGCATTTTCAAAAGACACACGCATGCTGTGTATCTCTGATCTGAGATTCATACTAACAACTAAAAGGTAGTCTTTTGTAGTTAATTTTTGTAATAAGCAGTTCTAACAGACAAACCTTGTTAAAAGGTCACAGTTATCCTTTGAAAATGAAATAAAATATTATACTCCATGAGGTGCCACAAACTTCTATTAGAATCAAAAGAATTATAATTAAACTCAAAATGATAAGCATTTTTTTCTTATTTCCACCATTTTTCTCAAGAAGAAGGAGCAAATGTTCTGACAATATTTTGGAAAGGTAGAAAATACATTTTCAATAAGAAATAAAATCATCTTGAGGGGCTGGGGTTTTAACTCAGC